CTGAGCCATGCCGGTTTCCTACCTCGCCTGCCCACTTTCTTATTCAGAGGAATGGAGACCTCTTGTGCTTCCAGGAGGGCATCTTTGAAGAGCCGCCAGCTCTCCTCAACATCCTTGTCTTTGAGGGCAGCGCGCCAGGGGATCTTGGCCAGCAATCCATTGAGTAGTTTGAAGTTTGCTTTTCTAAAGTTTAGTGTCCTGATCCTGCTCTTTGCCAGGCCCACATCGCTTGAGAATACGAAAATTCAAGTGAAACATCACTCACACCAGCAATAACTTTAAAGGGTTACTCTTGTAAGATCCAAGACATCTAACATAAACACTACACTGAGATCACTGCATCACACTGCATTATTCAGCTAACGGATTCATGCATTAGATAGAGTCAGAACTAAGATGTCTCCAAATATTTAGAAACAAAGCTCTAGTACAATGTCACCCTTTTCTCACCTGCATTAAGTCTCTGCAGAGATTTCTTCTGTCTTTGATAGTTGTCAATGAGAAGACTTAATGAACATCTATTTTCAGAACTAATGGCATCCCTCAAGGATTTCTACCAGCTAGTAAAACTGCTTTCTGCTGTTACTCACATCTGTGCTTTTATTTCTGGGAGGTGAGGAGAGGTGGGAGTACAGAATATTGTCCAAGCTTCTCACATCTCCTTGTGCACACAGATGAACTACATTTATTTCTGTTTTTTAATCATTATTTCATTTTACCATTCTCCAAGTACATATGTCTAAACAAACCAGAAACAATCCAAGATGGTAAATAACAGACAGCTCAAATTAACACCAAGGAAAAAGATGGCTCCATAGTCCAACCACCCGAAACCGAGTCACATCTTATTCAAACTGTAGTCACTGTTCTCCAAAAGCAGCTTTATGTAACCTGTGTGTGCTGACCTACCAGACTGTGATGGGTCCCATCCACATTAGCACCAGACTTGTGAGATTTCAGAACTTCGCCGTAATCTGCTGCATTGAAATTAGTCTTCCATACCATCACCTGCAGAACAAGGCCAGATGGCTAAGTCACTTTTATGAAAACTTTTCACCACATTTGCTTAGAGGTTGATTTCACCTCCACGTCCGAGAAGGCTGATGTTACGGAATACAGATGGAGTTCTCAACCTGAAAGTGTCTTCCTTCAACATTTCTTGGGTTAGGAACATCATGAAACTAGACATACCCAGAGAACTTTGAAGCAACACATCAATTACAGCATTAAAACCACAAATACATTAAAATATAACACGTAGTAATACAGCACTTAGTCACACACCAAACTAGTTGCTGTTTTATCAATGCATTCATTCACAGGAAAAGGAGAGATCAGTACTTTGAGACGAACATCAGACATTTTGAGTCAGTTTGCCAGCTAATAAGTCCCACTTAAAGGCATGGCCTCTCCATAACGCAGCATTTATTTCAAAAGAGAAGAGTTGTAACTGAACCTCTAACACAAAAACCACTTCAACACGTGAAGAGCAAGTCTACGGGGCAAAATCCTGAAGTGATGACATTCTAAAGAGTCAAAAAAGCCTAAGGGCATCAATTGACTGTTTTGAAAGTCTGAAAGACATTGTAAATCTCAGTAGTTCATTTTAGTTATCAGAAACATTGCTGTACACACAGCTTCATTCCTGCCTTCCGTGAAATGTAGAAGCGTTTTTTTTTGTACTTACATAGATCCAACGACCAATATGGCCATTGCAGAGAATAATAGGAGTAACAGGAAAACACGATGCTCCTTATTGTACACAATACTTTCTTCACAGCTTCATAGATCAGTGGCCAGACAGCCTACTAACTATTCTATTCAGTATTTGAACCATCTTTTTGAATGAGAACATCTAAATTTCCTCACACACGTTTTCTCTCCAATCTCTAGAGATGTGTTGCTATTTTCATCAGCTCTCATGTTTCTCCTGATCCAGAAAGCCAGTGTCCAGCAAGATCCTTCCACAGAAAAATCTCATACGTATACACGGACCAATGTCGCTTTTAATCCATGCCCGTCCTGTATGTGAAAGTTCTTCCTCCATACACAGGAGAAAGAAGCACTGCTGAAACAGTGCTCAGAAACAAACCTAACAGGGGAGAGGCAACTCCTTCACGAAAGCAAACGGCCGATGCTCCCGATGGCTCAGAAAGACATGCAACCATGAGCTGCAATGGCACTGATGGCCACAAGTGTCAGTGTGACCAAATGGCAGAAACATGCCTTCACAAAGCACCTTCCTGAGGAAGCACTGCCACGCAGTGTCTCAGCTAACAATACCCAGAGGGAGATATTGTAAAGAAAGAGTGAATCTCATCCGCAATGAAAACAGGTCCCAGCAAGAGGAAAGACAGAGGACCTGATGAAATAAAAGCTTCTCACAGGAATCTGCGCAGTGGGCCATGTGCAGGGTAACAAAACCTCTCAAAATAGAAACTAAAAATCTTAAAAATAAAATCAACTTCTTAGCTATGCCTAAGAATAATAGGAGTTTTCACAAAAGTGAACGCTTTGGAAAATAAATAACAGAGAATCACTAAGCAACTCCAACTTCCAGCAACACCAGGCGTTCTTATGGGAGAAAGAAACAACAGCAAAGATGCTTATTTGCTTCTCGTGTTAGATAAGCATTTCAAGAGCAAATCTTAATAAAAGTGACACTAGTATAATTTTATAGAAAAAAAAAAAAAATAGATGAGTTTCTCCTCTTTAAAATCCCTTTAGTTTTTTTAAAGGAAATAACATGGTATTAAAGAGACAGGATGGTAAACTACACCACCTATCTTAGCATAAAATGGCATTAAAATGCAGCTGACAAGAACTACAAGCAGGACTGATTTCCTTCTCAATAGTATGCTGAAAACACATATTACATAGAGAACCTACCAAGGCATTTCAGCACAGTCCAGACATGTCTGCTATGTTTTTGTTTTCTCATGCAGACAACAGAAAAGAAACCCCAACATGTTTTAAACAAATGTGAACCTGGATTATAATTCAGGACCAGAAGCAAAAGGAATAGAGAAGGGCTTCATCCACAAAAACCCTTCACTAGCAGTACGATACGCTCAGGTTCTCAATCCCAGAGTACACGTCAAGCTCAGAGAGAAGCCCAGCTCTGGCTCCAGCAGCTGTGTAACTGCAGCATTTGCAAAGCTTTGCTCCAGCCCTTACTAACAGAACAATCTCATGTCTGCTCAGAATCAAATCCACCTAAGGAGACAGCTTCTTCTCAAATAGAACTGAAAGGCAGATCTACAGGAGGGTAAGAGCACTGTAAAATGCAAAATAAAAGCTCACAGCCAGTGGAGCAGCAGACTCTGGAAGAGCACTGAGGGAAGCATCACCACCTGCTTCCTCATCCCTTTGCCCATCTCTCAGAACTAGGCAGAGGCAGAAGAGGAGACAGACTCAGGCAGTGACAACAGATCTTCAGGCTGTTTCAGTTGCACCCCCTAGCCTATTCTCCACCAGCAGCCAGAAGCCTCAAAAATGCATATTACAAGGCCTGTACGCAGGGTAATGTTTTCTGTTGTCCACATTACACTCACAACTAGCCCACCTTAAGTGCTTCCTCGGTGAGAAAATATTTATTGTTACTTTCTAACATTGGTTCTCTCTCTGAAAGCAGTAAGATGCTTAAAACAAACAAACAGTAACATAGAAAGTAACAACAGCAACAAACATAACAATAAAAGGAAACCAGTCACCCACCTGCTCATCAGATCCTCCAGAGGCAAAGAAGTCTCCAGTTCTGGAGAATGCTACGCAGGTGGCTGGACCCTGTGAATAAAATTTAAAGACATTTAAAACAAATATGGAAAAAAACAAACAGTCTCCATTGATTACAAGGTATGTCCCTCATGACATCAGCGAGATGTCAAAAATCCTTCTCTGTCAGGTAAGCAGCTCACAGTTACTGCACTAGGATAACTGGCACTTGGTTATCCTTTCCCCCACTTTCACTTGCAATTTAAGATCCACAGCATTAAGATGGAGCGAGGAACAAATCAGTTCTACAACTCCAGGCTTTGCCTTTTTCACCCTCAGTCATCCCCTTCCCTTAAGAATTAGCATTTCCTAAAGCTCCTGCTCATTTTTTCCACAAATGCTGAGTTTGTTATGGGCAGCCTCCAGGGACACACCTGAAGAGGAGGCTCAAAGGGGAAAAGGAGGGTTCAAAACACACTGATGCAGGTAATGCTGCATCAAGTGGTGTTAGAAAAAAAATACTGACAAGTCTGAGCATTCAGAAATCATTCACCGTGCCCCATAAATATACAGGGTTTCTTTTACAAACTGTTAAAAGGATGATGATCCCATACAATCTCTGAAGTCGTGGCAATTACAGCCTATGTTTTCCAAGTTCCTCTTCACACCATCAATACTAGAAATGTGAAAGAAAAACCCACTGAACCAAGATTTTCCACATAATCACACATAGCTCCTGGGTCCATAACTTCAAGAGTTACCCCAAATCTTCAGGAGACTGACAACAAGAGAGAACACATTTCATGGACTGCTATGAGCAATAGGACCACCGTGGAAAATAGCACCTGTCCTCCATGCACCACCTCAACAGCCTGTCTTTCAAACATAGCTGCCAGTAAGGGACAGCATAAAACAGTGGCTGATGACAAAAACACTAACAAGTGCTAAATGCAAGAGGTGAAAGGCAATCAGTTCTACTATGAGTAATTATGAACAAAAGGTTTTGTTTCCACAGCCGCCATGTGCTCTCACTGATTTCTCTATATGATCCATGCAGACTGCTCAATACAGAAGATCTTGCCAGTCCACCATGAAATAACTTCACACTGTGCCTGAGCAGTTATCAACCAACGCAATCAATTTGCATCAATCAATCTGGCCAAGGTTAGAAGAATTTCCAACCTAGGAATCTGTACAATCTGGATAACTGCAGAGGATTCAGGGCAGGATACAGTTATTCATTTTGATGACCCAGTCATCAAGGTCCATAACAAACAAGCCCACGGTTCTCTGCACAGGAGGAAGAAAACGACAAGGCTGCCTGAGCACCACTGCAAAGAATAGGTGGCAGAAGAGAGGCAGATGGAGCAGCATCAGCAGAGCATATCTGTCTTTGCACATTAGCTTCAGTTTAAGGAGTACTACGATACAGTTTTGGAGGCGGCAGCAATGCTTCGTACCTCCTCACAGGTGGGATGTGCAGACAGACAGCAAATGGACACCTGCAGCAGCAATGGAGAGTGCAAGAAGCAGGCAGGCGTTCCCTACAGCACTGCAGTTGGCCACTGTTAAGCTACAATGTGACAGCAGTTGTCACATTAAGTGAAGAACAGAAGACTAGCCCAAAACAGACTCTTTCTTAATAGATTTATGGAAGAGATGCACAAATTAAGGTCTCCTGGATCCCACCTTCGTACAGTACAGGCAGCTGTATTTTGAAGAAGCCTTTCATTTTGGGAAGTCACTTCTGAGTCTTTAGATGTTACTGACTGAAGTACTACTTGAGCAAAAGCATGAATTTCACACCACAAATTTATTTTAGTATGTTTCCAATCTTTTAAGTAATCCTACAGGAAGAAATACATGGGAAGGATGAGCCAAGAAGCTAAACAAAGCTGGGAAATCATTAAGTGTGTTTAAGCACAGGCACAAGAGACAAACTGTTCCAGTCAGAATCAGGCAAGGATCCAGACAATTTCTGTTTTTTTCTTTATGTCAACTGTTAGAGCCACTACCTTGCACTGTTTGAAGCCTGAGCTTTTGCCAAAGCTGGAACGAGCAGAGGCTGAAACAAACATTTCCAGAGGATGCCTATGGCTGAGCTGACTGAAAAAGAAAGCTGAGTTTGCAGCAGACTGAAAAACGATCAGAAAAATCACCACTATTACAATAAGAGAACTCCACCACACTCTGAGTTATCTTCTTTCAAGTAACAGTGTATGTATCTAAGAAGACAGGTAAGAAGCTTCTCATTACTGCACTACAAGTTACAAGAACAGACTGTCCCAATAGGAGCTTTCTGATAGGAGCTCACGTCTTCCCAAAGAGCTCTAGATGTGAAACTCACATCCAGCTTATTTCTGTTTCTCCTTTGTTCTTTTTCTTTAAAAAGGTGAACTCTTCATTATAAGTCTTACAGCCCGACGAACACACAGAGATCACATTTGGGATGAACACACTACACTCACTGCACTTGGTGCCATGCAGTCCTTCCTGCCTTCAGATCTGCTGGCACAAGATTGTATCAGCAAAACTAACATTTCAATTGGGAGTTCTAGACTCCTTAAAAAACACTGGAAGATATTTCCATGCTATCGTTTCACTAGAAGCAACTTCAAAAGGTTTCTTAGGCTTCTTAATAGAAACATCTCATTCTGTAGAAATCTTGCTGAAGCACACGCACAATCATTAGTGTGACTAAGCTTGTACAACTAATTCAGCATTAATTACTGCAGATATTTCAAACGAGAGACACTGTCATTTATCAGCTGAGACAAAATGTGCTTATGCCACTTTCTCCCACCCACCTTCTCCAACAGTTCAGCTGTCTGACCACACCACTGAGAATGCAGACCCTCTGAAGTAAATGGAAAAAGACAGAAACTGCACAATATTGCTCAAAGAAAGTTTTCTGAACGACGCAGAAAATGTAAGAGAAAGGAACCATTCACACTATCTATGTCTGTCAGGGTATCAGATGCTATATTTAAAAGAATCAGCCTCCTGAGGTACGGTTAGGAGGGTGAAGAAACTATTCAAGATACTGCCTACGTCTCTTAAGACTCAGCGTTCAGGAACCAACAGAAGTGTGGAAGACTGCAGAACAGCAGTGTGTTGCAAAATGGCTTCATCAGTATAAATATTTCAGTGTATTTAGTCAAAATTTACTACAACGCAATCACATAAAATCAGGTACTAAACTGACTCCAAAGTCACAGCATTCTGAAAGGGAAAAAAATGAAGTGCAGCGGAAAATATTCCTCCCAACACAGAAACTGATGTCAAAGGCCAGCTGTACTTTTCTAAGTTCAAAGAAGGGAGACAAACAAGTCGACGGACACAGCATCCTCTACAGATGTTTTTACATTAAGTGAAAAGTCTATTTGCTATGCATATTTACAGCACCCCTCCCAGATAGAACAAACTATGTATGTCCTATGTGTTGCTGTAGCAAGCACATAAAACATCAAAACTAATCAGTGTGCTACTCATTTCCTCCCGTAAGGAAGGAGTGTCGGGCAGAGTGGAGACACACATAGAGAGTCTTCAAAAGGACACACTGCTCTCACTCTGGATGCAGCCTACAGCCCTGGAAATACACACAGACAGAAGAAAGAAAGAAAAAAAAAAAAAAAAAAAGGAGCGAAAACCAAACAACAACAATAAGAATATGATTAATTCTTATCTGCTGCTGCGGATGCACAGTATCTTAAGCAATCTAACTGATGTGCAGGCTATCCCCAAGAGACAGAGATTACTTTCTCCTTTCCCACCTCTAAGCTTTCTCACTTAGAGAATCACAGAATCACAGGGGTCAGAAGGGACCTCTATCAGTCACCCAGTCCAACTCCCTGCTAAGCAGGTCTCCTACGGTAGGTTGCACAAGAAAGCAATTAGGCTGGTATTTGAGTATTCCAGAGAAGGAGAGTCCATGACCTGTCTGGGTTCTGCAGCCCTTCAAGTAAAGACGTTTTCCATAATGTTCACATGAAACTTCCTCTGCTCCAGCCTGTGCTTGCTGCCCCTTGTACTGCTGCTGGGCACCTCCAAAAAGAACCCATGGATCAAGGCTAACAACCACACAGCATTCGCTGCCTTAGCAATCCAGTTTGATCAGCTAACAGAACAAATTGCAGCCTTAAGAAAAGATGCTGCGAACTGTTCTGAACGGCTTTAACACAGTGTGCCTTCGCTGCCTTAGAAGGATGGAATCTGAAGCAAAGGTACAGATTACAGGACTCAATGATGGCAGGATGCTAGGAGCATCTGTAACAGTTGGCAAGGCCATGACAAGAGACAGAAGGAATAGCATCTGTGAAAACAAAGCTCTCAAACATGGTTCCAAAAATAGATCTCTCTAAAAAAATACTGAAGAGAGAGGCCAAGGGTTTGGTTTGGAGGAACGGAACTGTGCAAGTATGACTCCGTGCTCCAAGCATACAAATGACAAATAAAAATGACTTATTTACCTATAAATAAGAATCAGATGATCACAGAGAAAGTCTCCTGGATTAGCTTTTCCTCCACAGCAAAACTAGTGAAGAAAAGATGATGATTTCACAAACAGCAGGGCCAACACCATCAGTCAATTCAACTCAAGAGAGGAAAGATTTTCACTTTAGAGTAACAGAAGGAACAAGAGCCAGTCTAGAGAGAATCCAAGATTAAATCACTGGCAAAAAGTTTAATGATGCACACTCTCTGAGATCAAAGGAGAGGCAGGCAGTGGGCTAGAGTGACAGGCGGGGTCAACAATGCTGACAGAATTATTTTACTTTCTAAAAATGCGGGAGAAACTAAGTCATACTAGAGAAGAGCCAGACAACAATGTAAGAAAGGTGCCAGGAGCTGGAACAAGGCATTTCTAGAGGATATGAATAACTTCTTTTGAGTACGACTGCTTCCTTTGCTGCCCACAGGACAGAATAAACCAGCCAATACATTCATTCAAACTCTCTTAGAATGGACTAAATAGTACAAGGAGGAATCACAGGATGGCCAGGGCTGGAAGGGACCTCAAGGATCACGAATCTCCAACCCCCAGCCACAGGCAGGGCCACCAACCTCCACAT